CCACCACACACCTCACTACAACACCCCACCACAACACCCCACCACAACACCCCACCACACACCTCCCCCACCACAACACCCCACCACAACACCCTCACCACAACACCCCACCACAACACCCCACCACAACACCCCCACCACACACTCACCTACAACACCCCACCACAACACCCCACCACAACACCCCACCACAACACCCCACCACACACCTCACAGCAACACCCCACCACAACACCCCACCACAACACCCAACCACAACACCCCACCACAAACCCCAACACACCCCACCACAACACCCCACTACAACACCCCACCACAACCCCCACCACAACACCCTGCAACACCCCACCACAACACCCCAACACCCCACTACAACACCCACACCACCACCACACACACCACAACACCTACACCCCACCACAACACCCCACCACAACACCCCACCACAACACCCCACCACACCCCACCACACACCTACAACACCCCACCACAACACCCCACCACGATACCTCCACCACAACCCCCACGACAACCCCCCAACAACTCACGACACCCCCCCCTCCTACGACAACACCCCACGACAACACCCCACCACAACACCCCACCACAACACCCCCACCACAACACCCCACGACAACCCCCCCACGACAACACCCCACCACAACACCCCACCACAACACCCCACCACAACACCCCACCACAACACCCACCACAACACCCCACACAACACCCCAACACACCACCACCCCCACCACGATACTCCATCACAACCCCCACGACAACCCCCACGACAACCCCCACGACAACCCCACGACAACCCCCGACACTCCCACGACAACACCCCACCACAACACACTACGACAACCCCCACGACAACCCCCCACGACAACCCCCACGACAATCCCCCACAACACCCCCACCAACACGACACCCCACCACGACACCCACCACGACACCCCACCATGACACCCCACCACGACACCCCACCACGACACCCACCACGACACCTCACCACGATACCCCCACCACAACACCCCACCACGACACCCCCCACGATACCTCCACCACAACACCTCACCACAACACTCCCCACCACACACCCTCACTACAACACCCCACCACAACACAACACCTCCCCACCATAACACCCCCACCGCAACACCCCACCGCAACACCCCACCGCAACACCCCACCACAACCCCCACCACAACGCCCTACTACAACCCCCACCACAACCCACCACCACGCAACCCCCACCACAACCCACCACCACAACGCCCTACTACAGCCCCCCACCACAACACCCCACCACAACACCCCACCACAACACCCCACCACAACACTCCCACCACAACACCCCACCACAATATCCCACCACAACACCTTTTCACCACAACACCCCGCACCACAACACCCCACCACAACACCCCACCACAACACACACACCACAACACCACCACAACCCCCACCCCACAACCCCACCACAACACCCCACCCACCACAACCCCCACCACAACACCCCACCACAACACACTACGACAACCCCACGACAACCCCCCCACGACAACCCCCCACGACAACCCCCACCAACACCCCCACCACACCACAACCCCACCACACACTCCCCACCACAACACCCCACCCCACCACAACCCGCACCTCAACACCCCACAACACCTCACACCACCACAGCACCCTCCCACAACCGCCACCACAACACCCCACCACACACCCCACACACACCCCACCACACTGGCCCCCACCACAGCACCCCACCACCCCACCACAACACCCCACCACAACACCCCACCACAACACCCCACCACAACACCCCACCACAACACCCCCCACCACACACCTCACTACAACACCCCACCACAACACCCCACCACAACCACCACAACACCCCACCACACACCACTACAACACCCCACCACAACACCCCACCACAACACCCCACCACAACACCCCACCACAAACCCCACCACAACACCCCACCACAACACCCCTACCACAACACCCCACCACAACCCCCACCACAACACCCCACGACAACCCCCCTACGACAACCCCCTACGACAACAACACCACCACCACAACACCCCACCACAACCCACCACAACACTTACCACAACACCCACCACAACACCCCCCACAACACCCCCACCACACCCCACCACGATACCTCCATCACAACCCCACGACAACCCCCCCACGACAACCCCCCACGACAACCCCCCTCAACACAACCCCCCCACGACAACACCCCACCCACAACACACTACGACAACCCCCCACGACAACCCCCCACGACAACCTCCCCCACGACAATCCCCACGACAACACCCCCACCGACACCCACCACGACACCCCACCACGACACCTCACCACGACACCTCACCACGACACTCACCCGATGCCCCACCACACAACACCCCACCCACGACACACACCCACCACGATGCCTCCACCTACAACACCTCACCACAACACCCCACCACACACCTTCCTACAACACCCCACCACAACACCCCACCACAACACCCCACCACAACACCCCACCATAACACCCCACCGCAACACCCCACCGCAACACCCACCCACAACCCCCACCACAACGCCCTACTACAACCCCCACCACAACCCACCACCACAACCCCCACCACAACCCACCACCTCAACGCCTTGGCCACAACCCCCCACCACAACACCCCACCACAACACCCCACCACACACCCCACCACAACACCACCACAACACCTTCACCACACCACAACACCCCACCACAACACCCCACCACAACACCCCACCACACACCCCACCACAACACCCCACCACAACCCCACCACAACCCCCACCACAACACCCCACCCCACCACAACCCCCACCACAACACCCTCACCACAACACACCACGACAACCCCCACGACAACCCCCCCTGCCGACAACCCCCCACGACAACCCCACCACAACACCCCACCACACCACAACCCCCACCACAACACCCCACCACAACACCCCACCCCACCACAACCTGCACCTCAACACCCTAACACCCCACACCACCACAGCACCTCCTACAACCGCCACCACAACACCCCACCACAACACCCACACCACAAACACCACCACAGCACCCCACCACAGCACCCCACCACAGCACCCCACACAACACCTCCCACCACCACATACCCCACCACAACACCCCCCCACCACAACACCACCACAACACCCCACCACACACCCCACCACAACACCCCACCACAACCCCCACCACAACACCCCACCACAACACTCCCCACCACAACCCCCACCACAGCACCCTCACCATCCCCCACCACAACACTCCCACCACAACACCCCACCACAACACTCCCACCACAACACTAATGAAGGGTGTGACCGTTGCCCTCCAAAAATAAAAACAATGGTCCTACAATGCTGTTCAAAGTATTAGTGTTATGTATTTGTCTAGGAAACACCCCTGTAAATTTTCTTGGAGATCGGTGCATGTTTAAGCTAGCACCGTCGGCTTTACAAAATAACAAGGAATATTATTATCTAATGAACAAATTTAGTGGAGTTTCTTTTATTAGACTTATAAGATATACTAACACCAAGCAAATGATCGATCATATCAGTCTTAATACCCCTAAAAAAATATTATATATTAGGACGAAATACAATAATCCCAATAATTGCATTTCTAGGTTCAAGACCCATTTCTCTCAACTGGAGTGTTTGAGGAGCGCCAGCAGGAGATGGCTGACTTCTTCCGTGAATCTCTAGCCCAACCATTTACACGTGGCGACTACAAGGATCTGGTAGAGCTTTGTCTGCTGCTTGTAACTAAAGGATCCGAGCCAGTGAACTTCACGATGGTCTACCCCGGCGCACTTCACAAAGCAAGGTGGATGGCTAAACTGCTCTATACCCTCAAGATTGTTCTTTTGTCAGGCCAGATCAAAGAGCAGTTTCCCAAAGCCGAGGTTGTGATTAAAAGTCAAATCAGCAAGTTAGAACGGTTTGCTGTGTTCACAGTCGCTGTTTATGTCCCATGGTGGATTGTTTGCCCCGTTCCAGCAAGTGCGCCACTGAATGACTTGAATTTGGTCGAAACCTTGGCTGAATTTGCCCCAATAGTTGACAAAGCACATGTGACACTCGGTAGACACACTTGGTACCTAACTGAGGAGTTGGCCCCACTGGCTTTGTTCTCGTCCCAAGTACAAGAAAGGACAAAAGAGGAGATGAGGAAGGCCCTTCTTTGCCATGACGGCACTGAAGTTACTAAGGGAGTGGGGCTCAATCATGGGGGCTATGGAAAGCCATATCTTCCCCCTGTCCCAGAAAGTAGCACTGCCCTGGTGGACCTCATTGGGCCTGACTCAAGCCGGTTCTTCACCATTTTAGGCATGCCCTATCAGTTTCTCCACAGTCCAGCCAGTGAATCGGCGGATCATGACGACTACCTGAAAAATGAAACGCCAAGCTTCAAGTAGTCAATGAGGCTGCAGAGCGTGGTGTAAAACTTTGCCATGACTTTCTTAATGTTGCCAAGGATGAGGAGCACTTTCAAGAAGTCCTTCAAGTAGTTGAAAATGACAGACTCCGCGTTCCTAAACAGCGCAAACTATCATCTGTTTCCGAACAGAAATCATGGTTTCTTGCTCTAGAGCGGGAGTTCCCAAACCTGGGGTCGCGACCCCAAATGGGGTCGGAAGGCTCATTAGGTAGGGTCGCAAAGAGGTCATGGGGTCGGTGGGACCACTGGGGTCCTTTGGGTCTGCCAGCTCAAGTCACATGGGGAGAGGATGGGTGGAGTAACTGACCAGTCCCTCCCACTCTCCCACCACTAACCTAGAACGGTTGAGCTGTGCAGTACCCCGCCCACCTCCACCCCCAGTAAAGGGTGGGGCCGGTCGGTGACTGTCAGCCCAGGTGACAGGTCGGAACATATGATGATTTGATCTTGCCGACACTTGCCAAGCATCGGCAAGATGCCGCAAGATCAAAGGTTGCGACCTATAGGTACCTGGCCTGATACGGTCACCGATCCAGGCCAGGAAACAGGTCGCAACCTTTGCTCTTGCCGACGCTTGTGGATTATATTCAGCCTCACCAGTTTAATCCTTAGTAAGGACAATCCTTACTATCAGTAGGTTAGTGCTATGCCAGTGGACCTGCACTGAGTCTGACAAACTGACCGGCCACGGCCTGCGTTGTGACACTAAAATTCATTTGCAATATCAGATGAAGGCCAACTCAGCGCTACTTGATTTATTAAGCAAATTTAATTGTGTCATGGTATTTTGTATTGTTACGAACCACGCCACCAATTGTCCTGATCTACCAACCCAGCACTACGAACCACGCCATCTATTGTCCTGATCTACCTACCTAGCACCACGAGCAACGCCATCTAGGGACGAAACCCGAGTATGACTACTCATAGTTACCAGTCCGGGGTTTCCCTTCTCCATATCCTGGTTGTTGCGTCACCTCCTCCAAGTCTTCTTCATAAGCTCCTGTTCGATGAGAGTTCAGTTCACTCTGGGAAGTGACCACAGGATCATCTATCCTCTAAACCTACGGCACAGTGACTACCTACCGTCTTCTACAATACTCAGCCTTACTCGTCAGCCATCTCAGCTCCTCACTTAAGTATTTGTAATCTTGTATTGCCTCTCCCACCTCCACCTTGCTTCACGATTGTTTTATGTTGTATTAATATGTATATACTGTTAATGTTTAGGTTAAGTATGGTTAAGGGTAATTTATAGGAAACTGAATATTTTGTTAAGGAATTTATGGTACTTTATTATACACAACAAAAACTCGCATCCTTTATCTACCCTTTTATAGTCCGATTGTCTTTGTTTTTTTATTGTTGTTGCATGTTGGGATCTGGGTAGACTTTTAACTATATTCTAAATCCCCAACTCGTAACACTATGCATTCACTTTGTCGTGTGTTTTAATTTGTATGCGTATTACCAATTTTTTGCCTGTTATAAGCACACTGTATTTTATCTTAAGTGTCTGTAAAATTGAAATATTTTTAGTACTATATGGAATCTATTTTCCAGGCATTATGGATAGGTTTTTGAAGACATCATCGGAGTCAGCCACCAAGAAACGGAAACGCTCTATCAATCCATCATTCCTCGACAAGTATGGTGTAGCTGACGTCAGTGGTAAAGGGATTTGTGTTATGTGTTCTAAAGAACTTGCTGAGGAATCTTTGAAGCCGAACAAACTACAGAGACACATGGAAACTCACACAAATGTTGCTGTACTTTCAGAAGAGGCTCGCAAAAGAATTTTTCATCATCGTCATAAAAATCTAATCAAGTCTCAGTCAATTTTAAGCAGAGCACTATCGCACAAGGAAAGGATGGAAATGTTCTCATATAAGACAGCTTTTCTCATTGCTCAGCAAAAACGTCCTTTCACGGAGGGTGAGGCTATCATAAAGGAAGTTTTGCGAAGTATTTGAGGGTGAACCATTTGCAAAAAAGATAACTGAAGCTGTTGACGCCTCCAGTGTCTTGCAGCAGACCTGAAAGAGCAAATTTTGGAAGACTTCAAAAATTCCCCATGGATAGCCCTGGCAGTGGACGAGTCAACTGATATTACATCACAGCCGCAGCTTTTGATCTTCGGAAGATTTCTTAAGGAATCCTCAGTAGCTGAGGAGCTGCTTGCTTGTATTTCACTTGAAACTACAACACGAGGCGAGGATATTTTCAGTGCTATAGATAAGTTCTTCACTGAAAACAACTTGGAATGCAGCATGGAGGGTGCCCCATCAATGATGGGCAAGAACATTGGATTGCGTGGAATTTTATCAAGAAAACATCCTCACATTAAAACAAACCACTGCATCATCCATCGCCAGAGTCTGGCATCAAAAGACATGTCTCAGAGCTTCTCTGATGTGATGCAGGTAGGCATTGCAACTGTCAATTACGTGAAGGCTAAGGACCTGAATTCCCGCATGTTCAAACAGTTGTGCATTGCTGAAAATTGTAATCACCACACACCGCTGATGCATACTGCTGTCAGGTGGCTGTCAAGGGGAAAAACCTTGGAAAGGGTTTTCCTCCTTCGCAGTGAACTGGCATCCCTCCTGTAAGATCGGGGTCATAAGAATACTTCAGTGAAATGATTTGGGGTCGCACTGGATAGTTGACAACACTGGATGGGGTCGTGCTAGAAAAAGCTTGGGAACCCCTGCTCTAGAGAAATAATACCTTGTGAATATATGATAAAACCCCTTAATGTACCATGAGAGAATAAGAATAATTAACTTTTTTGTGTTAGTGATAACAGCTTTTAATTAAGAGAGGCAAATGATTTGTGTTAATATCCCTTATGATGGTTGTGTAATCTCATATATAGGCGCGTAAGCCGTATAAGCAAAATCGCTATTTTTCAAATTGCTGGTGCTCACTCAAATATGCATGAATCTTCAAAAAATTGCACGTGGGTATTTTTTATGTCAATATGCAACACCAAAATTTTGAACAGCATTGTAGGACAAAGTTGGGGCAACTGTCACACCCTACCCACCACAACACCCCACCATAACACTCCACCACAACACCCCACCACAACACCCCACCACAATACCCCACCACAATACCCCACCACAACACCTTACCACAACGTCCTATTGCAACACCCCACCACAACCCCCACCGCAACACCCCACCACAACATCCTACTACAACACCCCACCACGACACCCCACCACGACACCTCAACACAACACCCCACCACAACACTCTACCACAACCGCCAGGGAAGCATCTTACTTGGCCACACTAGAACCAGTTTGCCAGCCAATCATCTGAGAGCAGCAGTGTTACAATCATTATAAATCACACACACTCACCTGATGTAATATCTGCCAGGAGGTACCCGCAAGACATCATTAATGGGGTTATGTATGATACAGGTAATTAAAGTTATTACGGGGCAGGTGATTATCCTTCACACTGAACAAACAAAGTGGGAATTATTACATCGGTTTAGCTATGTTATCAAGACTGAATTTTTAAGGTATTTCCTTTATTATCTTCGTTTAATTAAAAATTTTAAGGTGATTTGCTTCATCATCATCTAACTATAATTTCAAGGCGATTTTCCACCATTACCTTTAACTAACTATAATTTTATGGTAATTTCATTATTTTCTTCTAACCATAATTTTAAGGTAATAATCTTCATTATCTTCGTCTAACTATAATTTTTAAGTGATTTTATTCTTTAACTTTAACTAACTATAATTTTAAGGTGATTTTGTTTATTTTTTTCACCCAGTACTAAACTTTAACACCTATGCTTTGTTTTCCTCGTCTGACACATTACTTTTCTTCATCGAAATCTATAACATAATCAAACAAATTTATTACTTTCAACGTAAAATTAAAATCTCAAACATTATTTATCTTTTTACGTCAAACTTATATATTTCATCTTAACAGCGTAAGTATGTAAGTATGTAAGTATGTATGTATGTATGCATGTATGTATGTATGTATGTATGTATGTATGTATGTATGTATGTTCAACTATTTTGGCCTTAGTCATGTTATGGGGCTGCGTCAGTGAGCTCAATGTGCAGTACGTGCCCCTGTACCTAGGAATGGAAGGGTAGGATGGGTGGGTGAGGGTAGGATGGAAGGGTAGGATAGGATGGTAGGATGGGTGGGGGAGGGTAGGATGGTTGGGTAGGATGGAAGGGTAGGATGGGTGGGTATGATGAAAGGGTGGGGATGGGATGGGTGGGGAGGTAGGATGGGGTGGTGGGATGGGAGGGGTGGGATGGAGTGGGTAGGATGGGAGGGTAGGGATGGTTGGGTAGGGATGGAAGGGTGGGATGGTGGTGGGATGGGGGAGGTGGGAAGGGGGGATGGGTGGGATGGGTGGGTATGATGGGATGGGATGGGTGGGGAGATGGGAGGGGATGGGTGGGATGGGTGGGTGGGATGGGGGGTGGGATGGAAGGGGTGGGATGGGTGGGATGGGATGGGATGGGTGGGGGAGGGTGGGATGGGGAGGGGATGGAAGGGTGGGATGGGTGGGTATGATGATGGGATGGGATGGGTGGGGGAGGTGGGATGGTTGGGTGGGATGGAAGGGGTGGGATGGAAGGGTAGGATGGGTGGGTGGGATGAAAGGGTAGGATGGGATGAGGGTGGGATGGGTGGGTAGGATGGGTAGGATGGGGGAGGGTGGGATGGGTGGGATGATGGGGTGGGATGGGATGGAGGGATGGGTGGGAGGAGGTGGGATGGTGGGTGGGATGGGTGGGTGGGATGGAGGGTGGATAGGATGAGGTGGGATGGGTGGGTAGGATGAAAGGGTGGGATGGGATGGGTGGGGGAGGTAGGATGGGTGGGTGGGATGGGTGGGTGGGATGGGAGGGTAGGGATGGAAGGGTGGGATGGGTGGGTATGATGAGAAAGGGATGGAGGAGGGATGGGTGGGTGGATGAAAGGGTGGGATAGGATGGGTAGGGGAGGGTAGGATGGGTGGGTGGGATGGGAGGGTAGGATGGAAGGGTAGGATGGGTGGGTATGATGAAGGATGGGATGGGATGGGATGGGTGGGTGGGATGGAGGGTGGGATGGAAGGGTGGGATGGGTGGGTGGGATGAAAGGGTGGGATGGGATGGGTGGGGGGTGGGATGGTGGGTAGGATGGGAGGTGGGATGGAAGGGTGGGATGGGTGGGTGGGATGGATTATGATGAGGGGTAGGATGGGATGGTAGGATGGGTGGGGGAGGGAATGGGTGGGTGAGGGTAGGATGGGTAGGGTGGGATGGGTGGGTGGGATGGGAGGGTGGATGGGTGGGGAGGATGGGATGGGAGAGTAGGATGAAAGGGTAGGATGGGAGGGCAGGGTAGGATGGAAGGGTGGGGTGGGATGGAAGGGTGGGGTGGGATGGGAGGGTAGGGGTGGGATGGGAGGGGTGGGATGGGTGGGGTAGGATGGGTGGGGGGAGGATAGGATGGAAGGGTAGGATGGAAGGGTAGGATGGGAGGGCAGGGTAGGATGGAAGGGTAGGGTAGGATGGAAGGGTAGGGTAGGATGGGAGGGCAGGATGGAAGGGCAGGATCGAAGGGTAGGATGGGAGGGTTTGATAGAAGAGTAGGATGGGAGGGCAGGGTAGGATGGAAGGGTAGAATGAAAGGATAGGAAGGGAGTGCAGGATGGGAGGGCGTTGGGCTCCTCCAGTTTTTGAAAATCTGGGAAAAGTCATGGAAATAAAAGTGATGGAAAGTTATGGAAAAGTATTAAAAAAAAAGTGAACGTCAACAGTACTCATGACTTAATATTGTTCGTAATATATAATCAGTTGCGTTGTGTATACTTAGTGTTACATGTTTTCCTTCAGTGTTATGTGTGAGTGAGGGAATTTGGTAACAGTAATCCTGGTGCCTCAGTATCATGTGTTACAGCTCCCTCAGTATATACTGTAACCATAATACATAATGTAGTACTGTACCTTCAACAATATTTACTGTAGGAGGTTACACTGTATTGATGCTACACAGTTATAATCATATTAAGGGAATTTCTGTAGATTTTAAAGTATTATGCTTCTTGCTGTCATACGCCCACACAGTGAGCTGGAGCAGTTCACACATACACCGCCCTACATTATCCCCATTAGCCCTAGGGCTTGGTCTCATAATGATAAAATCGTCAGTTATTAGCGAGAGATGTTGCTAAGTGTCGATTATGGGAGAGAAAACTAAAGTGTATTACCGTTACTGTAGAAGTTCAATTAGACAAGAGATTTTTGTCTGCACCAGCAAGCGACATAGAAGCCTTTAAATGATCTGGTCATGGAAAATAACATTCAGTGAAGGGAACCATGGTAACCTCTTTTTCATTTTCTGAAGTCAGGAGTAGTTAACACATTTAACAGGAAAATCATAATCATTACATTGTATTGATCGATTCCAAATAGTATAGTGGATAGTCTTATTTTATATTGCTATATCACGCCGCCTTATATTAACAGAGGTACTACTACTCCTACTATTTTTTCTTTTTTTTTAATTTGGCCTCCAGCCTCCCCCAATAGCCACACCTTCGCCGCCATTTTATTACCTTAATATTAAATATCCTAATACATATGTTGCTATCCTATGTGTTGAATTAGTTGAGCCGCAGATCTATGCGGCATTCAGTGACTGTAGCCTCATAGTCAATATCTGCAGCTGTTGTTGGCTTTGGGGCCGATGATTTCGTTCCC